TTTGTGGATAATTTGGTTAGAAACAGATTGGAGAGTTCTCAAAGATGAAAAGAAGTCTATTGATCATCTATGAGATGGTATCGTTTTTTTTTTGTATTTTTAGGCCCAAACTTTTTTTGTAATTACTGGTTTATAACTAGGTGGAGATCTCTCTTGTAACTTCATGGTTATTCTCATTAATGAAATTCCTCTGATTCTAATTAAAAGAAAATTAACCAACAGCATTTGGGATGTGTGGTAAAAGACAAAACTTCATACTTAAACTCAGTTTCTGCTATTTTTCCCTCGCAAGGGAAGACATCTTACTGTCATAGAAAACTTTTTCTTTTTCTGCCTCCTTTGGTTGCCTTGTTGTCGAAAAAGATATGATAGGAAGCTCCAGGCTATTTGTTTTGTTGGTTGAACATTATGTTTAATTGATCGTATCCATTGTGTCATTCTCTCACTAATTCTTCACTATCTCTTTCATAAAATGTGTAAGTTGTTCATTCACTTTGCCTTCTATCATTACTATATATCAACCATAACTAGGTATTTGCTTTTAACTTCCAATCAAATTGAAGAACAGAGCTTTTCAGAAAAGAAGACATAACAGAGGAGCAAGCTTTACCTTGTCAACCATATCATTTGTCAAGCCACTGTTTTTGTCTCCATAAGCATTGATCACGTCCTTGAGAATGAACATCGTGAGAGGTATCTGCACTCCATCTCCTATGCTGCCCAGAGTCCCGAAAAACATGAGAAACTTGTCGATGCCATCGGCATAGCGAAACATACTTTTCCCTGCCATTTTTCCCATCCTGTGGTCGATAGAGGAGCAGCAGCCTTGGAGATGATTAAAGGTATGTAATATTTCTAAGTTATCTAGAAAAACTGACGGATTATTATCTGTTGCACTGTCTCTTTCATTTTCTGATATAGCCAATGCAAACTGAGATGAAAATGGCTTTATATTTGAGCTCTGCCGGCAGCCATAGTGATTCTTGAAATGTCAAATCTTTTGGAATTACTATTTGTTTGTCTACAAGCAATTCAAGCACTTGGGAGACTGATTCTCCTTTCTAGTTATTGGAAAACACAAGTGAATCAGAAATATATTAACAAAACTTGGAAAATGAAGATGATTGATTTGGGATCCATGAATGATATGATAGGTTGAGTTTTTTATTTTTATTTTTCTTCTGTCTTTGGACTGCTTTGTATGGCCATGGTTATGTTATGTTTATGTGTGGCTTCTTCTAGTTGTTTACTCCTCCAAAACTAGGCAATATCTGCCTGCAATTTTTGCTCCCTTCCTAATGCATAAGGCCAAAAAGACTGCACTTTGGAGATTATGAAGCAATCAGAATCTGTTTTGAGGCTATAAGTTAAAGTATCATCCTTGTTTAAAATCTCCAAAAACTAATAGAAAACTAGAGCAATATCAGATGCTGCCACAGAGAGAGGGAAACAAAATTATTATATTCCATCTTCATTTTTTTCTTCTCTAGGACATTTGGTTTTGGATTGGACCAAATGAATTGGGTTGTCTTGGTCAACTTGCATTGTTATTGCATTCAAATAAGCCACACAACAACAAGTGCTGAATTGGTCAACATTTTTGCACCTTTTTGTTCTAAACTTACAATCAGCTGTGTAACCTTAAGAATCCAAATGTCATTTTGAATTTGAAAGACATCTTCCTAATCACTCTTATGAAGAGGGAGATTAAGAAAAAAAGCTCAGATGATGTGCAAATTTTGCCCCGAAAAATGTTGTAGGGAAAAATCAGACAGATGAGGAAAAATGACTGCATCAAGATAGATATGAGAAAGCCGAGATGGTCGTAAAATAAAACCGTAAATAATAAAACTCTAACTACTTTGGTCCCTTTTCTAAGTCCAACCTTAAAAGAATTTTTACTTTTGTAATATTGCATAATAGCATATAAGCTGATGATTGGGATACAAAAGAGAATTCTCAATTAAATTTCGAGGTCTCAAGTTCGAACCTTCTGATGAATTTAATACAAAAAATTCTTTATGTCTCTTGGGTCCGAGTTTTGGACAGGTGCAGGTGCCCTGGGTATAGGGAAGCAAAGCTTCGGCTCTCGGTTACCAAAAAAAAAAAAAGAAGAATATCAATTCTCACCGTGTTATATCATCTCTTCGTATGTGTAAATCTCATTCACAATAAATTATCCAAACATTGTTTTACCACCAAAATTTATTGAGTTTTCTATACCCAATACTTTTAAGTGTGGGCGCGAGATGACTTATTTTTGTTTCCCGTTCTCCCTGGCAAGTTGCAAGAACATTGAGATTTGTATTCTAGGTAGATGGTCACTGTGAGAGAAAATGTTTTTAAGCTAATTAAAACATTTTATAAACTTTTTTGAAATTATTTATTATTTTAAAAAAATTTAAAAACAATTAGTACTTGAAACGCTTTTAGAGTAGACACTTCATTAATATTTATTCCAAAAGTACTTATAAGAAAAATATTTAACTTAAAATTACTTTTATAAGAAAAATATTTAACTTAAAATTACTTTTATAAATAGCATCGTAAACTCACCATTGGACGGAGAGTGCGTATTTTATTTTTTCTTTTCATTATTTGGGAGATCAAAGGTGATGAAATAGTGGCTGTTTAAATATAATTAGGGTTTATGTTTTTCATTTCAAGATGATTTTTGAGACTTGTGGTTAAGTGAGTAGTAGTAATAAGCAAAGAAAATGAGGATAGGGCAAATGTAAAGGTTCCAATTTGCAAAATTAAATAATTCTTTTTAGCTTTAATTTCTTTTACTTTTAAAATTAAAAAAAAAAGGAGGAAAAAAAAACTTTTGTATTGAAACTGAAACCATCGCCCATAATTCTTTGGTATCTTTAGAATCGACAAAATGCCGGAATACGTTTTTTTTCTTTTCTTCTTTCTTTCTTGCTATAAGGATAAAGTTGGTTTAGAGAATATACTTTTACCATGCTAGAGCGAGCTTTACAAAGCATCTAAATATGTCGAGGTGGACAAGTCGAATCAGATCAACCAAGATTCTTAGATCGTATTTGGGACAATCGCATGAGTCTAACTCATAGGCTAGACCCATGGACCAAGCACCATAGGCCAACCCATAGGTTCGAGATACGGGCTTGAGCCATAGGTCGAGTCCAAGAGGTGCAACTCGGGGTCTAGGAGATGAGTCTCATGGACCAAATCCTGTTTTTCGAGTATTTTTGGGGCCAGGGCACGATTTCATAAATACAAAATTTGAATAGAAAAAATGTTTTAGAAAATTTTTGGAGAAGTCTCATACACCATGTATGGTAAAAAATCAATCTAATTTAAGTGTTAAAGTATATTTGACTAGATATTCGTCAATTTACCTTCTTTCCAAGTTACACTTGATCTCATTCTTTAAGAAGAGCGGTAAGAATTTGGTTATTCTAGGCAGATTTCATGCCTAACAAAGTAATATATGCATCAAGCTCCTGTCGGGAGAGGTTGAAAATTTCGAGGAGGATGGTACTTTGATTAAAGATATTCTTAATCTATCCTCCTTAGGAGTCCATCACTTCACGAATGTCCTGAGAAGGGCGAATGTAATAGCCCACAAATTGACTTTTGAAGCTATCTCATCCACGGTTAACTGGTGTTGGTCCACTCAATTTCCCATCGTACTTTTAAATGAAGTTAGCAGAGACTTTGATCATTATGTAGTCCATGAGGCACATCTAATTATTTAATAAAGTTCACAGATTTATATTCAAAAAAAAAAAAATTAAGAAATATATGTCTTATCCGATGAGCTATGTTTCGACAGCATCTATACTATCAAGTGATTTTTTTGGAAATAAATAAATCTTATTTAGAATAATTTTCAAAATGATTTTTGTTATCTATATATATAATTATCAAATTTTTGAACCCTACAAACTAATGGCTCATAATGGAATGTTTCACATTGCAACTTAAATTCCATTTAATTGAATTTAGCCCTTTAGCATAAAATTATTATCTCAGGCATGTGCGTGAGTTTGTCTTATGAAAATTATATATATAAATCATTTTTAATTATTAAAATTTGTTAACAAAAAGTTAAACACGTGGATATGTCACCCACTTAAATACTATTTTAGACACGTGAAACTCGTTTTGTCAATGAAACCAACCCACGTATTAATAAAATTCATTTCTTAAAAGCGTTCAAATAAAATAGATCAAATATATTCAAATATGTTAACAATGCAATAATTTAATGACGTATCAATTTATGTTAACACATATTAACATCTTTTTCTTCATGAACTTAATTTTCTGAAGTTTAATCTTTTAAAATTCGCAATTTACTTTTAATGTATTAAAAATTCTCAATGATGTATTTCATAAAAAGAAAATTTGTTAAAATTTGCTAACGAATAACTGTTGTTAAATTACTATTTTACTAATATATTTGAACACATGAACGCGAATACTATATGACACATTGACCCACTCATTATTAAAATTCGTTTATTCTAAGTGACACGTCGGTATAAATATGTAATTAAAATAATAATTTATTAATACGTTACTTCTTTTGTTAATAAAATTTAATATTTTCACTAAAAAAATATATTTGAATTTAAATACCTAAATGGAAAATTAAGGATTAAACTAAAAATTACTCCACACATTAGAGATTTCTAATTTGGTATATGTTAAGCATTTTAAAGACATAATTTAAGAGTAAAATTGAAAATTTTAAAAGATTAACTAACAATCTAATAAAAACTTAAAAGATTAAATACGTTTTAAAATAAATATGAAAGTTCCACCTAATGGAATTTCAAAGTTAATGGGTTCAAATCTCATTAAGATTGTCTATGAATTAATTTTTATGAATTTTCAGACAACAAATATTGTACTGTTAAGTGATTGACCGTGAAATTATTAGAGCGTGCAAATTGATCCATACACTTTGAGGATAAAAAATATCATTTCTAACTTTTTTATTATTATTATTATTATTTGGGTCAAAGAACCCAGTTCGAATGGGATGTTGCCGTCGCCGATAAACCCATAAACCCCACAACGAGAAGCAACGGCGGCTGAATTCGCCGGAGACCGGAAATTTGCTTTTGCTGTTGCAGTTGCAGACCTTTCGGAAGCCGAACCTCAAATGCGTTCCAAATCCAAAAATCTAAGCTCACTATTCCGCTCCGCCATTGCAGCTTCAAAACCTTCACAGAACCTCCAAGATGCGGCTCTCAAAGACTACGTCTCCACCATCGACCCCTTTTCTCCCAGCACCTCTCTCTCTAAAGCCATCGATTATCGATATATCAAGTCCGCGAACTCCAAGAAGCCTCCCCAGAAGCTCAATTCTGATGTTCAATTTCCTGCTCTCGTTTTGGAAGAGCCTTCAGGGTCTGGTATGCATACTGTATTGAGATTGTTTGGTTATATATATGCATTGTTTTTGTTATTTTGGTTAATGGGGTTGTGAATAATCTTCGATCAAGCTCAATTTCGCCCTAGGTTTTGGTGGCTTAATTAGTGAACCGGAAGAAAGTTTTTGTTTTAATTATATTCTGTTTGCAGTGATGGCACTGATAGGTGAATGATATTTGATTTATCAGGTTTTACTCACCTCAAAGGATAATGTTTGAATGCAGGGGATTCTATGAAGCATCTAACCAAGGCAATATCTTCCATTCTGTGCGGTACGTGTCATTGAATGTTTGTTGTAGTTTCTGCAAATATTTAGAATTGCATTCATGAATTTCTCCTTAAGTTGTTAATGCAATAATAAGGATATAGTACCTTGGAACTTTCTGAGTGGTTTGTTTATTTCTACGTCCTGTCCAGTTACACAAATTCACTAAATTATTTCTCTATATTTTTTGTGCAAATGTTACAATGACTTGAACTTTAATGTTGAAAACAGAAAACTAAAAACCTTGGTTTATTAACTGGGCAAGTTTCGTCATTCTCTACAGGTTTTAGAATTGTATTTATAATTACTTGGCTTGTAATTTTCGTAGACATGGTTTCATAAGTTATAGTTTTGTTTGTGATTTTATTTACATGTAGTTCTTTGTTTCTTTGCCTAGTAAAATGCTTTACCAACGCATTGTTCCCGTTTGCAGAAGGCTCATCTGTCAGCTCTCGTGATGCACAAGGAAATGGTGATGATAAATCTGTGGAAAAATTATTAGACATACCGTGGTTTTCCAAGATATCCAATCATAGCATATCATTTCGTCGCAGAGAGATATCCCGTGAAAGAAAGCAAAAATGGATTTTCAAAAGTAGCCAAAGCAACAGATTTAATCGATTAGTTAGAAATTGCGCACAGAAGCTGGGGACTGATGTTACTCTTGAAGTTTTTGGTAAATTGGGACGAGAAACTGGTGTGAAAGAATACAATGCACTTATGGATATATGTTTAGAGAAAGCTAAGACAAGTAAAGACGTGGAGATTGTATTGGAACAGATTGCCAAGGTTTATCAGCTATTTAAATTAATGAAAGAACAGGGTTTTCAAATAGAAGATGAAACTTATGGTCCAGTTCTTACATATTTAATTGAAATGGACATGATGGAAGAATTTGATTTTTTCTGTGAGGCTATAAAAGATGGACATCCAGGCTCGTATTCTAGGTTGGGTTATTATGAGATGTTGTTCTATGTTAAAATCAACGATGGAGAAAAAGTTCAGGAGCTTTGTAAGCATGCTGCAACTAATGATGGAGTGGACAA